CCAGCCTGCGACAGTAAATCAGTGGACGGGTGCAACACACCCACACAATGCAGACTGGGAGATAATAAACACGTCTACACCTGGTTGGCAGCATCCAATTTCGAAGTTACCTATCGCTGCTATCTCCATAGGACAGCCACAGAATGCCTGCGCCTACAGAGTGACCATGAATGGCTTGCGCTGCACTACTCGCAGCTCCATCCACACACTCTATGTCCAGCGTATGGCCGGGGAATAAGACCGGAAGGTATGTGGATGGGATCCACGTTTCGTCTACTTAACCCATAGATTAATTGTATTGATTCGCAGTACATATATGCTTCTCTGGGAAACACATCAGGCAGTTCCTAAAGCATTCAAATTGTACTTACCGAATGGTGCGCACACGCACGATACCTATTCAAGTAAACAATATATCTGACTTTCAGATATAAATCTTAGTCTCGTGCCACCATGTTTCCCTCGTGATCCGATTGATTTCATCTTTCTTGTCCAACTATGGTGGGTTTTCCGGTTTACGTTTAGTACACGGGAAGGGACCTTCCAGTCATCTGCCTCCACAAATGCCCTTGGTATTCTGTTCTTCATCTCAACCCGGTGGCGTGTACGAGTGTCACTTTGTACCATAGAGGGTGGAGCAAGCTAAATTTCACCCAGTGACATTGTATATACTAATGTTTGCGAGAAGAAAATGTACTTCCGAAACTGCGAGTCATCCAGCAGTAGCGCGCTGCGACTAATGAGCGCAGGTGGAGGCATTTTTAGACAACAAAATACCATTTACAACGTTTCACCGTGACTGTTAGTTCGCGGCATCATTGGAGGTAGCCACTTCCGGAGTAGCCTGTTACCTCGACTTCATGGGGATAGCCACAGGACGCCTGTGCCTACAGAGAAACCATGGATGGCTTAGGCTGCACCACACACACCACATCCAGTGTAAACCTGAAGCAGTAAGATTGAAAAGTATGTGGATGGAAGCAACGTTTCATCAACGGAGCCGGCCCAACTGCTTTAACATGCGCAGCAGCATCCATGTCTCTTTGAGGAATCATATGTGTCGGACGTACACAAGGCGGTTGTTGGGTCTTAGCCCGTTCCACAATGCATGCTTAGAACCACTATTTGAGCCTAGCATGATCACAAGGACCGTGCACCTCGTCTCCCCAAACGACGACAACCAGACTTCTGGAGCCAATGGATTTTCGGCAGTTCGGTTCCCTTGTCAATATTCACATCAACTGCATCCACACTGGGGATTTCAAGCAACCAATCTAGAATTTGAAGAAATTAAAACACGCAAAATTGACACGGCATATGCAGCAGAATAACAGAACTGAGCAAATCAATTAAGGTGGGATAGTTTTTAGTTAGTTTAAATATGCCTAGTTTAAGTGTACGTCAGTATGGACTAACAACGGTGAAGAATCACGCACGCCTACACATACACATATAGACAAGCACACCAAAACAAACAACAAGGGTTGTGCTGCATTGATCGGCTAACAAGCCCTAAACAGCAAGGAATGATCGCTGGTTATTCATATTATTGTGTTCATCTGCATACAGTATTGCAAAACGCTTGCGAGTAAAACACATGATTAACCTAAACGTGATAACCACACGTGTTAAGGGAAATAACACAATGCGATTCACGGTCTACATCTGAGATAGTACGTCGCAAAACAATCACACAACGTGTACACTAAAATGGCTCTCCAATCAGTCACTACGGTTGTGCGAAGCGTTGACCCTCATCACTCTGCGGCTTATAGGTAGAGGTCCCTATCAACATCCCAATGGTCTTGGGTTCGGGACATGCTATCTCTACCTGATGAGGTCGAATAAGGTCGAAATGCGTCCTGGAATGCGGTTTTTTAGGAAGCAACACAATTCCCAAAAGCTTCAGCTACGGTCCAGCTGATCGCGTCGACCAAAGTTCCCATGAATGGATATCACGACCCACACCGCGATTGCATATCACAATCCAATCACCACTAGATGGCCGTCCAATCAGAGAATAACGGACGTTCATAATATCTGGAAGCTTACTGCATTTTTGATCTGATTGCTGAGTTCTTCAGTCGCTTTAAACTGAGAATGGGTGGATGACTGTTCAAAGGAAGTGGAAGGCTCATGGTCGAGTGGTGTGGGGTGTGTTATCACAGTTAGGTTGCGCTTGTGTATGATCCAATTGTTGGAGTTGGGTCTTGAAAGAAGATGTCCTTGTTTGCCGTTGTTAAGTGATAACTCCGGTGTAACGTAACGTTTTTCGTTTGAGCACTCCACAGCTATGTCAAGCGATGCCATGGAGCTTTGGTCTAGTGACCAAGCTGAAATCCATCAGCCACTGTGTTGGGATCTTCTTTCAGCTCAAGCTGCCTCTACCTGTCTGGCCCAAATCAGGACGAAACCAGTCGGTCTTGGAGTGGAATGTTAGGAGAAAGCTTCTCCAAACCTCTCTACTTCGGATACGTTCCCAGTGATCGAAATGGCACAGCTTTGTATCAAAGCAACCCGTAGCCTCAATCGAGATTGCTTGTCGCAATTCATACACACAACGGGTACTCCAAGGCCCAGTAATAAAGTGCTTAGTTTGTTCCAGAGCTCTGATGCCGCCGGTGCAGGGAGGCTACAAAGTGCGACGCCCTATGTGAGTACGAATGAAGGTTTGAGTGCATCTGGAGTCCGCTTGACATCTGCGCTTCCCTTGTCTCTTCAGGAGGAATAATCAAGCGTAGCAGATGCATGTGTTTGAAGAATGAAAATGCAACTTTTGACGTAGATGCAGATGAGGGAGGGGAATTGAACCGTACAGGTAACTGAATGTTGTATCACGGACCAGTGAATCATCTTTGATGCTACATTGTAGGACAAGGGAACTGAAATTGCTCTATCCATGAACACAAATAGGCAGGAATAAACTGTCCCGTATTTGAATCGTTTAATTAAGGAATACCTTGTGGTCAGAATACCATGGTAAACCGTGAGTTTGCAGAAGCTATGGCATTATGATGATTCGAATCGTATTCCACAGTTGCTGTGAATATTGTAACCATCAGTGAAGTAGTACAGTGATTTGTATTTTGTGACGATTCGTCGCCGTTAGACTCAGGCAGACAGCCACCACACATCTAGAAAGCGCTGGACGGCCGATTCGTTCTATTGGGAATCGTCAGTAGCGCGCACCCGCCGAATCCTGTCGGATTGGGACCCATGACTTTACTCTTACCAGCCAGCGACTTATACCCCTGGGACATGGGCGACGGCGGCGGACCGCCATGTCTGATATCCAACTGCGATATAACGCGACTCATCCTCCACTGTCCTACATATTTGCCGGTATATTCCGGTTGAAAGCGAACACAATGAAACTCTCAAAGAGCTCCGAGCAAAACTCCGTGCTAGCCTGAAGAGAGACCGCGAATCCTGGTGGTCTCATGGTGCATCCAAGATGGAAACGGCCGCAGGCCTCGGGAACCATCGTAAGTTATTCCGGCTGATCCGGGAAACGGGCAGCAGAAGAGCCGGTGTTAGTGAAACTATATGTGACGAGAGTGGACAGCCTATCCACAACTTGTCCAAACGCTTGGAGCGTTGGGCTGAGCACTTTGAAAGACAATTTCACCGGTCAGAATTGTTAGATTTCTCGCCGGCTATTGACCGCCCCGCTCTCTGGGTTGTGCCTTTGGATCCACCCTCTCGCTATGAAGTCGAACGTGAGATCGAACTGTTGAAGTTAAATAAAGCCGCTGGACCAAATGATCTTCCTCGAGCCCTCTTCAAATTCGGTGGACCTGCTCTTGTGGATGATTCCGACGAGTTACTAGTGAAACTGTGGGAGAAGGAAATTGTCCCAACCGACTGGAGCAGCTCTGTCATTGTCCCAATTTTCAAGGGAGGCTCAGGATCGGAATGCTGCAACCATAGAGTAAACAGTCTGATCTTCATCGCCTTCAAATTGCTTGCCTCTGTCATCCTTCACAGACGGACTGGCACGCGTGAAAGCCAGATTCGTGAAGAGCAAGCCGGGCTTCGTCTAGGTCGTGGCTGTATTGACCACATCTTCACCTAGTACGTTTCACACCCTACCGTGCGGCCGCACAGTAACTCGTCTCTCGCTTTGCCCTTTGTGGCCACTCCAATTCTCCTCACAAAATATTGTGCGTGCGCTCGTTCGAACCAGTTCGACGAGCTCTACTCAGTGCT